TGTCATTTTAATGATTACCTTATTGGAATTCGCAAGGAATTGCAAAAGCGCAATCTATAAACGGGCTGGAAAATGAGAAGCTATGAAAAAGAGGGCCAAACTGCTGAAAGGTGTTGATCTGAAGACAAGATGCGCACTTTCCACCCTAATAATATTTTCGATAAATATGTTGGAATATAGAAAAGTGCTAAAGACAAAACATTGAAATAAATAAATCTAAGAGAAAATATGTATCGGTTTAAACCTTAATCCAGATAAAAAAGCGGAAGCCAAATTCTGGGGCAGCATGGTGGTTAGTTTGTGTCCGGAGCGGGGTAGGGCCGATTGTCACGAGTCCTTATCAATCCCTTTAAAGAAAAGAAAGAAAGGGGGGCATAGGCCATCGATTCTAACGAAAGCCCCGGGCAGCTCATATCTTTTGTGCTATGTAGCCCGCACAACCACACCCGGTAGCTCTAAAATCCAGTGGGCATTTGCCTGATCGCAATAGCTTAAAAGGGCAATCTGACTGCGCAGATCGGGGTCGGGAAATCTGAAAGCGTTACAAATATAATTTTCTGCTTTCAATTACCTCGAAAGATCAAATTTTTCATATAAAATTTTTTAAACAAGTGTTTGTGCCAATTTAAAGGGACGGGCCAGGCCTAATTATGGTTTTTCCTCATTGAGTTGTGGGTCAAGCCGCCCCCGCGACACGCAACGCGCGTGCGACAACACGCTATTACACGCGTTGCGGTAATACGCGTCCTTCCCTATTAACGGGCTAAAAACACGAGAGTCGACCCTTGATTGTCTGGGTCTCGACAACTACGTTACAAGCGCTTCGCGACGATGCAGTCCAAGACGATTTTGTGGTATTGTGCGTAGCTCTAGGCACCGGATAGGAAGGGCGTCGACTTCGGCGCTTTCTGGCCCCTTTAAACACTTGTATCACCGTGAAGCAAAGCACTTTATTATGGCTATCAAAAGATTGGTAAAATGGATCAAGGCGCATATCCGTCAAATTCATGATCAGCATGCACGAACGCCCGCTCGACGATCGACATCTTTTCTAATTTATGCTGCAGCGGGGAGACTACCTGAAAAGGGTGGCATGAGGCGTCAGGTTACAAATGACAGTTCCGCTATGGGTAAAATATCGGATCGCAAATTATGAATTACGAAAGTACTTTTATAGTACAAAAAACTCGTATATTGCGGTGCTTCCGTAAAAGTAGGTTTTTACCTCATCATGAACTACTCGACATGTCAAATCTGGATCCACAACAACATGAACTTCGACGAGGAGCTAAAAGCTACGATATGTACTTTTCACTACTTATTGACGTACTCGTTCTCCGGTATGGTAAACCAGTAAGGTATCTAGCCCCTTGATATGTTGGGAGTGTTCGACGCATATCCGGGCTACGCGACTGTACTCTTCCGCTGAAAAAGCCTCCTACAGGTGCAGGTATAGAGCGAGAGAAAGAAAGACGGAGAGAGAGACGGTGACAGAGAGAGTGAGAGTGAGAGAGTGAAATATAGAGAGCGAGAGGGGGGTACATACATTTTTATTAGTAACTTACGCGTGCAAACCCGTCCGCTAACCCGCGGGAATTGTTCTAACACCACCATTATCCAAGAAAATGCGACGTAGGTGCTAAAGATTACAGGTTTTTTTGGTGCTATAAGGCCTGAATTACGCGATCAATGAAGCTGCTAGCGGATCAGCATACTTCCAGTATTTAGACGTTGTTGCACCTGAATTTTGAAACTTTTAATGGCAGGATTTTACCGATAATTGCCACTGAGACGGTAAGAACGTCGTTTCTTTGGTCGATGGCTAGCACTTTACTGGAAGTGGTACCTATAAATGGGATGTATATTGTATAAAACGCTACAGAAAACTCTTATTTCATCTTTAGAGACTAGAATGAATAATTTTAAGATTTTTGTAAGTAGTTGTACCTCTCCGATAGCACACTATCCACATAATTAATTTAAGAATGATTGTAGCAACCATAAGACCCAAAGTGATGAGATCAAGGCCCGGTGAGGTCTAAAAACAGTTTGTCAGAGCAACATTTTTTTTGCGCCAAAAGTTAAACTTTTAGCTTTGACAAATGACTATCAATGGTAAATATGGGAAGAATCGGATTTCTTACCGCCTGATCAAGCACCGATTGCACAGACCCGAAGATAATATAGAAATTCGCCATTCCCATTACAATTCCGATAATGACGATGCTGAGGTTCTCCAGTTTACTCCTCCCTCGCGGATACAGTCGATAATCCGTATGCACAATAGAGTGAGAGGCATACCACAGGACTGCACCACTAGAAAACAACTGCCATTCCGTGTCGTAATTGGAAAAACAAAAACTCAAAATGCAAAAGCTGCCATCGAGTTAGGAAAAAGTCAAAGAAATGTGGCTAGATTTGATGGCGTAATCGGATTCGAAAAGCTAGTAAAAAGGCAAGATATGGTGAAAGAGCCTTTAGAAAAATCCTCATATCATGATTCTAAATTTACATACCCAGTTATATCAACAACACTTTCCAGCAATGTACTGACGATAGACAGCGAAGCGCCACCGGTTAGAATTGTTGCTATTATCTTAAAGCATAAAAGAAGAATATTGACGAGAAGGACGGCTCGAGAAAGCACACTGTCCCCTTTTGCTAAAAAGTAATGAATTATGACGTGTAAATTGGGAACGAGCTTACTTCATCGTCCTCCTTCTTAGCTGTAGCGTCTGGGGAGGCGATTTCTTTGTCATCCTTACGATACGCTTCGATGAGCTCGCTTTGCTGTCTAAATAGGACGTGCGGTTATATAGACCAATTATGCAAGTAAGAATAGAGATTTGATCAACCAGACTAGCTTGAGGGAGCTAACTACGAGTGTAAATAGGAGCTTCCGTTATCAACGCTTAGGCTACGCCGGGCTCCAAATGGCGCAAGCACCCTGTGCCCCTCCGGCAATAAAACATCGCCTTCCGAAGTTCTGATTTTAGCCTAGAACCCTTTGAAAGGCAAAAATTGAATACATTCTATGATCATAACTAGGGGTTACTAATGACATCAATAAATCCCGATATTAATAAATGTTAGAAAACTGAAGCCATGAAAAATAAACTAATTCAATATAGAGTTTTAGACTGGGAAAATGGCACCTCAGAAAAGAACCGTTGGAACGTCAAGTAATAACTTACTGATAATACTCATCGACCCTCCTCTTCTTACAACATAAACAAAACTTTTTGCACTTTTTCTTCTTTTCCTTGGCTTCTTTCTGGAGTAGAGGGGCCTTTTCGGAGAGTGATTCCAAATCCGTCATCTTTTGCAGGTCAATTGATCAATAAATGGTGTTATTTACAGCCGAAGCAATACAAATTGTGATTGGCCAGAGAACTTTCTTCCTTATCAAAAGCCCCCGTCAAAACGGGCGCTTCACTCCCGATCTAGTCTGCGTGTCTGTCTGGGGATGTATGTCTCTCTCCCTCACTGTCCGATTGTGGCAGACAGTCATTCAGAGCTTTTCGGAAGTTTAGCGCAAAAACATACGAGGGCTGCTTATCAGCGGGGGAAGTGGGCACGTATGGTATCACGCAGTCTGCGCAGTGGATTTGTTGAGGAAATTAGTAGCTAATGCACGGAGGTAACCAGAAATTGCTATGTTAGATTCATAAATATCCAATAAATATCCGGAACCAGAACCGAGGTGAAATTACGTAACTACGCACGCTACGTTCGTTACGCCATTTCATTAATCCGTTTCCCAAAGTTTTCCAAGACCAAACCACTCACCACAAGCTACAATTCCCGAATGTGAAAATATTAATTTCCCGCATGCAAAATTACAGTAAACACCGGCAGGGTGTACCTCGTTCTTTGGCTGGAAACGTCTTGTTCTATGATCTCTATGATCTCTAAACAGTTCTATGTCCGCCTCGAAATTTCCACCGTTTTTAATTAAATTCATCCCCTTAAGGCATCTATTTTCCAAAATTTCAACTCAAATTTCGAGCACCCGAACGCCAAACAATCGGAATCAGGCGCTCCCAAAAGGGAATCATTTCTTCAAATTCTTCAATTTCTTCAGCCGGCCAGCCGCGCCCCGATCTTCCCCTAATTTGTAGCCCGTGGAGGGCCCTGAAGAGCCCTGAAGACAAGGTTTGGCCCTTATCTGCCCCCCCATCCCGACCCAAAAACTTGGAGGCAATTTTGAGCTGGATCTCATAGCCAAGATTTTCGATATATTTTTCGCGTCTGGATTTGTATGACGACCGTCTGCCCGGTGTCTGGAGATCAGCTAGTGCTACGGCTCGAGCCGGATTATGTGAGTGAATTTTAGGATATTATGGGGACGGAAAAGCATGGATATTAGTTGTTCTTTATGGATTTTCTTAGCGATTTACCGTATTGGCCACGTGCGACGCGCACGCCATGTCGTTGCCTTAAAATTCTGATTTTTATAGGTAGAGGAGGTGTACATAAGGCGTACACTGAACCTTAATTTAGCGAAGCCCGCGGACCTGCTCGCGCTACCCCAGGCGTCTATCGACGCCACTGCACTCATCCACGGCCGAAGCTCAGGAAGTCCTGTCACAGTTTCAACACCAGGATTCGGAGACTCAACACATATAAAGGTATCTACTTCCTACTAACGCATCGGGGACCTTGGAAAGAACGGGGACTTTCTAGCGTTCTCAGACCACAGATTTTGCAATGTTGTCAATATTGGGCTTATCAAGAAGCATTTACGCGTTATATAAACAAATGTCTGACATTTATCTTTAGCTTTTATAGATTGGCGAATTGTTGATCGTTTGTACCGGTTTCCTATCTGCCCAACGATAGGTCCTAAACCTGACCTCTAAAACGAACGACCCTAACTTTCCGGCGCGCCCGACCAGACCAATTTCCGGATTTTACTTTCTTCTTTCTTTCACCGCCCTCTATCTTTCACTGACTCACGCGCGGCACTGCCAAACTACATCTTAATATTTTGCTCATTAGGCTTCTGCGTAATAGCAATTAACCTGATTTCCAAAATGCGCAATTTATTTTTTGTTTTCGTGTTTTCTTAGTCGAGCGCCAATCGGGATCCGGGGTAAAGCACGCAATGATGCTCTGTTTTTTTGCCTAGTGTGCTTTGCTCAACCCGTTTTCGATTTCTGTCCTTAAAGGTACACTAAAATCTCGTGCAAAAAGTCAGTTCGCGGTCGGAACTCCCGGCCCTCTGCCGCGCAACGCCCCCGCTCCTTCTTATCCCCGTTCCCTCTCCCCTCTCCCGTCTGTCCCATGGCCTAGTGGTCTAAAGTGCTCGCCCTAGGCGAGTGGCGCGGGTTCGGTTTTGCTCCGCGGCGAGCACCTACCGTAACCCTGTTTGCTATTCCGCGGACGGTTACCGGCCGGTAACCAAACCAACGAGGCTTTAGTGTACCTTTAAAGAACCTTAACAGGTTTATATAAACCGTGCTACCGGCCCGCTAATTGGCATTTGAAACACCAGCGTCTAGTCAGATCATGTGTTCGCACGTATGCCATCCGCGACAGTTTCCTCTCAACTTTTTGGGAGTCCTTGGAAACCCCTGGAATATAACAAGTACCCCACCCCATTAGGTGTGATTACTGGTTTCCGTAGATACCCCATCATAGCGCCAGTTCATAGGTAAGAATTTGCGGCGTTCAAACACATATTTTTGAAATGCCAAGTTCGACTGACTTTCACTTTTCTTTCTATACTGGATTTCTCTGAGTTCAGTTCGATTCATTTTCAATTCTATGCTTTTCAACGGTTTTAAAAGGGTGCTGAATCACATAAAAATTACCAGTCTGAGGTTGAATAGCAGTTTTTGTTAGTAACTCTCAGATTTTTGAATAGAACTTGCAAGTCCGCGGTCTCACAGAAATGTTGGGGGCAATAAATAGACTTGAGAAAAGGGAAAGTTATCACCAAAAGGTTCTTCTAGAGCAGAACCATTTCGTGAACTTTGTTTTACTATGGTACCTATTTTTGCTAAAAAAATACCGTCATAATTTACAAATATAGTTCGAAAGAAGCTACTAAATTTTTCAAACATGTTAGTGGTAGGCGAGCTCCCTAAAAAGTTGTATTATCTATAAAAACTGTGAAAAGAACACTTACCTTTCATTTTCGTTCCGTTGCCGGTTTCTAATTTGCGTACAAAACGCCAATAAGCAAAAAACGGCTCATCCTGATTACTTCAAATTGGGTTTTTCAGAATCAGATGTGCGATTTCCGTTATTTTGGTCGTGATCTGTCTCGACCCCGTTAAATAATGCCAAATCTCTAGCGTACCCTATAATCATAATTTCCACCGATATTCACAGGCCCTCATTAGCCACACAACTCTTGGATAGCCTCTGTCTGTCCGCTTTGCCCCCATTTGTCCCCTCCCCCCGAACCGACAACTTCCATTCTCATTCCAGAATGGCGCCAAATTAACCGCCACTCGCTAATCGTTCCGCACAGCTCGGGTCTGGTCGAGGTTTCGGGCTTTGATCGAATTCAATAGACCCGAATTGGACAAGGTCATCCTGAATCTTACAAATATGGAAAACCTACGGCACTGAACGTACATTTTCTATATTTACCCGTTTTTCGATCCTGGCGCTATTCTTGGCGCTATGGCTTGATCTACTCCATTTAATATACCTTTTCTATACCAGTCGCGGCTCTTTTTTCCATTTTTTTGACTTTTAGACTTTTGAAACATGCCTTGCCAAGTTTTATAAATCATGGCGATAGATTTTTAATTAAATACCGTGTTTATAGTTTTAACTGGATTGTTACCAACATGGCCCATACACTGGCGAAAAAGTCTTAACTGTAAGGAAAAAGAAATACGTAAAATCCCGATAGTTCCGTTTTTCTTTGAGTGCTGACGTCTTTTAATAATTATTTTCGAATCTGTGACATCAAAAAAAAAGAAACGAACCCGCTGGCCTCCGGCTCCTCACTGATTCGAACTCCCATGTGGCTTCCTCAGCAACGGCCCGGGGCCATCAGAACTCAGAACTCTGTCCATATTCCGGGGCCCGGATTAATTTTCTTGCCCTGGTTACACCGGTGTCTCCCATTGTCGAGATTCTGGCAACTTTAGCTCAATGCACCTCATGTTTTTTACAAAAACCTATTTGATGGTTTGAGCGAGCTAGCTTTTTAGCTTCTGCTAGCCTGCTCCAGGGACGAAACGTTAGGGCTGCAGTTGCAGGCTTTTCACTTATTTATGAGCGTTTAAATACCTGTTCCGGGGCGTTATAGTAATTTTGCATTTTCATAATCTTGCGCAAATGGCCTCTGCCAGCTTGCCGAATCGACGAACTTTCCGAAGCCAACGAGTCATTTCATGAATCCGTCATCTAATCGATGGTATGCTAGTTGTCGACTTTTCGCCTATCTTCCTAGTAGAGATGTTACGCATACGAATACGACATGGGAGTTACGCGTCGTATTCGAATAAGCCGTCGGAATCAAAAATTTCTTAATTCCGACCCGATCATCGTATTCGAATTAGGGGCGGAACCAAGCGAATGCGACGTTCGTATTCGTTTAAACGGTTCACGTCGGGATAATAAGCTAATTGGGATGCAAAGCGATATTACGAAGAAAACGGCCGGAAAATGGAACCAAGTGGTCAGAATATGCATAATTTGAATAGATTTAGGTGTTAATTTCTCGGTCATTTCCGGTGACGGTGTCAATATTTTGATCCTACTATATATAAAAAAATAGTGTTTGTGTGTGTGTAGACACTTTGCATAAAAGGCTCGAAAAAACCGGGTTATTGAGATATCAGGATGGAAAAAGTGTTTTAGGGGCCAACTGAAACGTATTTAGGGGTAGTCGAAGGCGTAAATTACTGCGCGCTTATCAGATTTTTAACACAATCGCGATTTATACCTTATTTTAGTCTTTTTAAAACATATGGAAATGTCCTCATTTGCATACGAGCCGCTAAGGGGCTCATTTCGGATTTTGTCACGCTCTCATTCGGTCGCTTTTGTTCTATTTAGTTGAGAGGTTGGCGCTAATTCGCCAGAATTATGCAAAGTGAGCAGCTTTTAAAGATACCCTCGCAAAGGCCAGGGGTGAAAAGCCGCGTAGCGGCTTTTCAACGCTGGTATTTACATAGAATTTCGCTTTCAATTTTAATTTAGCTTTTTATCCCGACGTGCAGCCGACTTGCCAGATCATTGCGTCGGAATCAGCCGAGGCTTGTTCGAATACGATCGTCGTATTCGAATTATCAGCACTCGTTCTCAAATCAGATATGCATATCGGGCTAATCTGCCGGAAGTAGCACATCG